GTAAAGCCCTTTAAAGCCCAGCTGAGCTTTTCAGAAAGAGCATTCAGCTCCAGGACAGATGCCTCATTTATTCGTTTTCAACCAAGCTGGTTTTCAAGCAATTTGAATTAATTCCCTTTATGGCCTTGGGCTTCCCAGAGCTTCAAGGAAAGCCCCAGACTGAAGAACTGTGTCATCCCAGGCAGTAACAGGGAGAGACTCAGCACCCAGCCCTGCGAGTGCAGGTTGGTCTGGCTCCCTCCCAGCATCAAACCACCAAACAACCTTTTGCAAGGGACATTTTTCTCACCTGAAGATTTGGAGACTGGGAGGCTCAATCTGCTAATTTAGTCCAACCTAATGCAGTCCTGTACTCTTGGAGGACCCTGCATCTAAGGTAATATTTTCACTGGCAAGCTTAAAAAGCATAGTAAATCAATACTGTGTATGTGGAACACCAGCCCTGGGTGACAACCAAGGTCCTGAAGGTTAAAGGACAACAGGAAAATACAGCAGACCTAAGGGATAGAGGACATATTTTCTATTTACAGATTTATGTGCCTGTCCTGGGGTGTGGGTTTTGTGGTTCTAATGAACAATGAAGAAAGCTATGAAGCTGAGCAGGAATGTGTCTGGTAAAAACCTGGCCTATGGAAGTCAATCCACAGGTTTTTGTAGGGACAGGATTTGACTCTCTGGCAGCTGACCTGTGTCTGTTGTTCTGTGTTAGGAGAGTGGCAGTGGCTGGATGTAACTGCTGTGCCCAAATATCTGCAGGACCTTCTCTGCAAGTGGCATCGGCTTTCTACAAGCTGCACCTACTCAGAAAGTTTTCCAAAGGCTTGGAAAAATGAAGGCATCACTTAAGCAGTATCCTCTCCCAGAGACTGAGCAAGAATTTGGAGCACATCAAGCATCCTGATGCACGCTGACATAGGACTGTGAGAATTTGCAATCAGTGCTGTAGATATGATTTAATACCCTTTAATATGTATCTCACTGTCACATCACAATGCTCTGAATTGAGGAGCTGTAAGTGTTGTATTTTCATGTGGATAGCCTGCATCTCAAACAACTCACACCACTGCAAGAGAACTACCCTTTCAAACAAGCACTTAGCTAATCTGCATCCTCAGGTAACCCAGGGTCATCTCAGAGTATCAGTTATGTATGTGGAACCACAGGTATAGGGTGGCAAGTAGCTGTCCCCTCCTTCATCTAAGCCTTCTGCAACATGCATTAAAGGCTATTAAAATTCTTTACATATATACATTGACTATATGAAATATAATATGCAGATATAATGTTGTGTATTTATGTTTACTAAAACAACACAGAGAAGTAGCAAGAAAATTTCTTTCATTAACTTTTCCTTAAAAAAAATTGCTGTGTGTTTATTTGTATATTGACATCCAATAACACAGTGAAAGCATTGCAAATAACCCCATATAACCTCTATACCAAAAAATATCTGATTTGAACTGTGGCTCAGCTTCCATGTTGGGGGCCATGCATAATTTGGGTGAAATGCATAGGCTATGATAAACAGCAATGTGGGTTATCGTAGCTGTCCCTTACAGCATTTAGATACACCTGAAGTTCTTTACAGGATACTACTGATGGGGTGCCAGAAATACAGAATATTTTGTATGAAACTTGCTACACTTTCAACATATATATTTATTCAGAGTCAGCTAGTGTCCAAAATCCAGGTGAATTGCTCTGGTTTGTGGGAGGCAACAACTCCCAGGCTCCATTTTCAGCTCTGAGACTTCTGGGTTGGTTTGGCTTGGTCAAGGGCAAATCACCTGAAAATCTCTCAATTTGAATTGTTCATCTGTGCAAAAGCTGATGATAAAAGTAGTCTATCTCATAGAATGACAGTAGACATAATTAGCTAACATTTGCCTAGTCATCTGAAAGCTCTTTCTAAGTGTGGTGCTTGCCAGACTGTCCAAAGAGAGAACATTGTTCAATTCGAGAATATTGTTCAATTTAAAAGAACAGAAATATACAGAAGTTTAAAAAGTCCTGAAAGTTTGCAATAAAGGGGTCTGACATTCTCGAAAGAAAAGATGGGAAAAAATATTTTATAGGTCACGTTGCATTACGCAAATGTGAGAATCAAGCAGAGAAATCTTACTGAAGTGCACTAAGAAAAGAGCTGGATGGGCTTCTAACACGGGGGAGAAAAAAGTTTATTGTTTAATGCCAATTTAACAAGCAGAATCTTGGTAGAACATCAGTTCTTCAAAGTCCTATATGTGAAAAAAAATTAATGGAAGGTGTTTCTGGATTACAGTAAAAAGGACCATTCAATCACAGCGCAGTGGTGTCATCCTCTCTTGTGACTTGATCTGTTTCTGCCATAACCCCACTCCACCTCCCTGCAGCAGCCGAGGCTTTGGCGCTTTGCTTTTTGTGCATACCAACAGAACCTCACTGGGTATTAAATCCTACCTCAGGTCTGAGATTTTAAAAGTGTGTATCAGTGTGCACCATTTCTGAGAGTCTGTTTGCACTAGTAAAGCCCCTGGTGTTGGATTACAGGGATGTTTGAGGGGTAAATAGTAATTATAATCATAATAATAAATCTCCAGTAAACCTGTCTAGGATAATGACTGGTCTTGTGGGTGGTCACTGAAGGCAGGGCCCCATGTGACAACATCCCCCCCTCCTGTGCCATCCCAGCATGTGCTGTTGGCTGTTGGACTACCTGCGTTTGGAACCGAAATGTGGGCCAAAAATGGCAGAGTGCAGCACAAAAAAGAGGATGTGATTTGGCCCTGCAGATGTATTTCGGACTACTCATCTCTAGCATAACCATCTGTTGGATCATTTTACAGCTGTGATGGTTTACTGGTGACCGGCTGACACTGGCACTGCAGGGATTTGATAATAACAGTTTTTCTGTGTATCTGTGGGTGGGTAAAAGAGCTCTATTTAAACACCACGGCAAAGGGAATAAATTTTTAAATCAATCATTTTCTTACTACTTGTAGGATCATCTTATTGTAAAAGACAAAAGAAGTGATCTCTAGGCTTAAGTTTGCTGTTCAGAGATTACTTTGGCTATTCTGCTCAATTTACTCTGTTGAAGCTGCTGAAATTGTCATGTCCAAATGTCAGTTAATTCTGACTTTGGAGTTGCAGCTCTGTCCAGGAACTCCATGGTTTCTGCACTGTCAGTTCCTGTGCAAGGCACATCAGACAAAGGACAGTGAGGAATTTTTAAATTATAGAATTGTGGTTTATTCCAACAACAGAGGAAGGAGAGAGGGGGAGAGAAGCAGATTGGATGGGCAGTTTCAATAATAGGAGACTCAATCTGGGCAGAACTTCCATCAAGGCACATTTGGAGGCGGCGTGTAATGGAGATGACATTGATTTTCCTCCATTTACTGTAAGTTAACTGAGAGTAAAATTCCAACAGAAAACCTAGAAATGCTCATCACAGAAGCTATATTTAGGCAGACCCACTGACGTGATGCCATTGAATAAAATAAACATTCTGGAGACAAGCAGTCCTGAGAGACTTTCAGCTCCATCCCCACGACATGAGCAAGGGGAATGCATTATTCCCAAGCCATCTACAAAACCTTTATTGTAGGAACCTACAGAAAAGTAGGCTACTGGGCAACAACCTGGGCAAAATGGGAGGCATCTCCCTCAAATGCAAAGATTTTGTCGTTTCCTGCTAAAACCAAATGCCTGCTAGTTGGCCAGAGCACAGCTCCTCTAATTGCTCCTCCACTTCTAATGGGATAATTTATAGCTCATTGTCAATAGAAAGAACACCAATTTGTTTGCTGTGAAGGCTGGAAGAGATGAGTTTTGTCAGAAGTCTGGGTGATTTTTGGGATCAGGGAGCAGCTGCTTCTCTAATGTCTCTGGCGTCATCTCCTGCATGAAACTAAGCCGTGCATGAGGTCCAGCTTCCTGGTCATGGAGGTATCATCACAGTGTGTGCAAGGGTCTGGTTTTAACGTGGAGCACCCAAAGCTTTGTACAATTGCCTTTGCTGAATTCCCTGTTGCTCCTTTCCCACTGGCGAGGGACACCTTTCCCCAAAAAGATGGCTCCCAAAGTCCTGGGGGAAGAGAGCAGTGCCCCGAGGGCTCTGAGGGGTTTTAGGTCCTGCTAGGCAGTCATGGAATAGTCACTTAACTCCCCTCTAAGTAGGAGTGATGATGCTTTCCCTCCTCACAGACTGCCCGTGACACATGCTCTGTAAATATTTAGTATTTGAGCCAACTAGTGCTTGCCAGAGCGGCAAAGGTGAATAACATATGTGCAAACATTGCATGCAGGAATGCAGCTGAGAACACTGTTTATTTTTATGAGCTAACACTGTCCCAGATTTCATCTTCTTTCTCCTTGCACAGCGTCCCCACTGAAGTCAGCCTCCATGGGCTCTTCAGCTGCATCAGCTCTCACTGCCCTGAGTCTGCAGTGAAGGGAAGGTTGCAACAGCAAATCCTACTGCCAATAGAGCAGCCTGTTCTCTCTACCCAGGGTGCCCACTTATGTGGCCCCTTTACCCTGGGGAGGGTAAAGGGTGTGTAATGCATTAAAGGTATAGAAATTTAGCAGGAAAGAGTTGAGTTCCAGCTGGTCCTCAGACATGAGTAGGGTTGGCTGCGAATGGGCCTAATTTCCCATTCGAACCAATTCAGCACTATAGGTCTGGTTGAGAACAGTAAGAAAAAGCACAATCCGGATTTTGAAACTGTAAGTTTTATTGAAACAATATGTTTTATGGAAATAACAGGACATCAGGTTCAGGATTACTGGGGAAAAATACCCTAACTACCTATTACTGACTTATCTATTTCCTAGGGATAAATATACTAACTGCGTAATAGCTACTTCTATATTTGCTGGGAACAAGTGCCCTAACTATGTATTAATTACTTACCTATATACTGGGGAAATATACACTAACTACAATGAACTACTTAGATATTAACTAGTGCTAATATATACTCTTCATTCATCACATGTGAGTCCCAGGAGCAGAACTAGCTGTCAACGAACGCGAGCAGGAGTTGTTTGAGCCGATGTCGGAGGCAAAGGTACTCTTGCATGGCCTCTGTGTGGGCTTCTGGATCCTGTGTCAGGTGCCAGAAAAGGTTGGGTGGCTTAACCTTTCGCAAGTCTGGAGGCAGGTTGATCTCCCCTGGGATTCTCTGGTTGCCTATGACAAAGCTGTACAGTTGTTTCTTCTGCAGGGAGCAGCACAGGTAATCCAAGCTGTCCACCAGCCGCTGCAGGAAATCCCTCCTGCACCACTGGGACACGGGTATGGTGTTCAGGAGGTGCATCACCACGGTCTTCAGGATATAAGTGGAAAAGGCTCTGCCCTCCAGAGCACGGGCCAAGAGCTGCAGGCATTTGAGGTGGCAGCTGTCCCGTGGAACCTGCTGGGCAATGTGCCTGAAGAACTTCATCTCTGCCACGGCGTAGGTCTCCATCCACACTGTGCTTGGGGTGAAGAGGGCCTCTGTGGGCTGGCTGCTCACATAGATATCTGAGTCTCCTCGCTGCACCCCAAACAGCACTTCAACCTGTAAGCTTTCTGCGCCTTTGGTCAGGCTGAATTTACAGGAGCGGCTGGAGGGAATCAACTTTAAGTGCCAGTGGTAGGACTGAGACAAAAGCAACCAATTTGCTTTCATCAAAAGGTAGAACCATTGGGTAGTTTTCTCCACATCTAGGTAGGAACCAGTGCAGAGGTTGTATAGAAGGCTGAGCTCCTCATTCCTCCTCAGCTTTTCCTCAGGGTTGTGGAGAAGGCACAGCACTTTCTTCCCCTTCTGCTGCCTTCTGCAGCTGCAGACCTGCTGCACATGGACACAGAAGTACTTTCCTGGCATCTTTCCTGCAGTGTCTGGCTCCAGGTGGAAGGCATGCCCTGTGGGAGGATTTAGGGGTACAAGGACACGGTACACAACATCCTCCTTGCAGGGACTCCAACCTTCAAAGGCACTGCCCACCCCGATGGCTCGTTGCGGCACTGGGTAGGAATGATTTGCGAAGCGGTTTCCAAAGGCACGTGTGATGCCATCTATCAGGTCAGTTACTGTGCAACCTCTGTCCAGAACAGGCCAGCGTATGCGCTCCTCTATAATCCTGCAAAGCATACTTGCAATATCTTGCTCTTCATCTCCATTTGCACCGTATTTTCTTTCTTCTCTTCCAGCAGCATTGTCTTCTTCCACATTCTCATTGCCAATAACTTTATCTTCATTTTCATCCTCAGTCTCACCTTTTCCTTCATTTCCAAATTCCTTTTCTTTATTTGTGTCACCACGGCTACCATCTTCTGCATTTCCATCCTTGCTGTCTTCCTCTACATTTGCATCATCCCTTTTTGCTTCTTTCTTTGCCACAACATTGTCTTTTTCTTCATCTTCCTCCACCTCCAAGTTGCTGCTGGCATTCTCCCCTGGTGCACTGCTGTGAGACTCACAGCTCCTTTTCTGGCGGATAAACCACAGTGCCAAAAGAAGGCCCAGGACTCCAGCAAGAGCCCAGAAGTTCTCCTGCTGCAAGACAGCCCAGAGCAGGGCTCCCCAGGCCCTGACAGTGCGCTCCAGGCTGCTCTGCTCCAGCTCCTGCAGCAGCCGACTCATCTCCCTGTTCAGGAACTTGGCGCGCAGCTCCATGCGCACACGGGTGGCCTCATCCAGCTCATCACTCACCAGCTGTGGGTATTGGATCAGGGTTTGCACAAGAAAGACAATGACTATTAAGGCCTCCATGGCCTGTAGACGTAGGGAGAAAAGGGGTTAAGTGGGGCTGAAAGGGAAGGAAGGAGCTAGAGGTGGGGGGGAGGCGTGGACGGGAGCTGCAGGAATGTTGGGGCAGGTAGGAGAGGGCCCAGGCAGCTGACAAGCAGCAAGTCCTGTCCCACTGCCCCTGCAGCAGCACCGTTCCGTGCCCAAGGTTGCTCCTGGATTCAGAGTGAGAACCACTCGCTCAGGTGCAGCGTTTCTGCTCCGGCCCTTGTCCAGAGCAGTTTCCCGCCTGTGCGCACTCGTTGCTCGCCCAGGCTCTACTGGGGCAGCGCTACCTGCTGGGGTCACTTACAGCTGCCCCCATTGTGGCACGACCCCTGTGATGCCATAGGTACCAGAGCACATCACAGCCAGGCCAGCCCCGCCCTTTGTTCCCACCCCAGCTCTGTGACTCATAATGGCCCCTGGGCAACCAAAGTCCAGACATCCCCAAAAGGCAGACCCACCGCTCTGGAACGGGTCCCCAAGGGGTCCCATTTACAAAGAAAGCAGGCAGAAGCCCCCCCAAACCCTTGTCAAACCTAAAACTGGGTGGCGTGATCCATGGGCGCTTTGCTCCCTGAGATCCCCTCCTGTGAGTTGGGATCGGTTCCTTTGGTGCTCCTTTGGTCCTCTCTTCTTGTGGGGGTCTCTTGGGGCCTTTGATACAAGGCCGCAAGTTTGGTACAAGTTACAAGGAGGCCCTTTTTTGATGACTGACTCAAGGCAATGCAACTCCTTCCCTTGACTTCCTTCCTTCTTGACCTTTCTATAAATGTAAAGCAAAGTCTGCCTTTGTTGTCCGTGCCGTGTCTCAGGACATGGTGAACTGTACCCACTGGGCTCAGGCTGCCAGGTTATTTTACTCTCAGGTGATTCTGGACCTCAGATGATCAAACAAGTGCTCTGGTGATTTTTTTTTTTATGGTGTCATGCGAGTTTGGCCCTTCCTGTCATTCCCTTAAGAAATACTGACTCTGTGGGGAGGGCCTGTTCCTGTGTCAGTGGTGTAACAACTGCAGTTAAACCCAGTTCTGTCCCCACTGTGCAGCTGACCAGCTTGTTCACAGGCCTGCCCTGATCGCGTTTCCTGCTCCATGCAGTACTCAACAATGAAAACAGTGATTTCTGAAACATGGATACATTGCAGATACGATGGGACAGTTTCTAGATGGAAAACGGCTTGATTTCTTATGCCAGAATCCCCCTTGTGCATTTCTTCGTCATCACAACAGAAAATTATTTTAATAAATTAAAATTTTTGTCAATAGAGAAAGTTGAATTTCTTTGCCAAAGGGACACCACTGCTCTGAGCCATTGCACATACTCCTCTGTTGTAGTCTGGCTTCTATGCCATTCCTGTTTCTATCAATTAGACCATAAAATCACAAAATCCCAAAATATGCTGAGCTGGAAGGGACTCACAAGAATCATCAAGTCCACCTCCTGGTCCTGCACAGGACCATCCCTAATAATCCCTCCAGAGAGCGTCATCCAGACACTTGAACTCTGTTAGCCTTGGTGCTGTGAACACTGTCCTGGGGAGCCTGTTCCAGCACCCAACCACCCTCTGGGTGAAGAACCTTTTTCTAATATCCAACCCAAATCTCCTCTGAGATAAATTCAGGCCACTGTTTCACACAGACAAGGCTGGCCCTTTAACATGACTTCATTCCAATGCAGGGCTCTGCAACAAAAAGAGAGTTAGAGTGTAGAGCTAAAATGGAAGTGTAGCTTTTCTTCAGACACCTGAAGCCAGGGATCACTTCTCTCCACATATTTGATCACTGGGTGGCATAATAATGACTCCCTGCTCTGTGAAAGCAAAACTCCTTTTGCATTCTGTTTTAAAAGGTAAATCTTTAGTATCTATCAAACCTCTGTACAGCTAAGATAAGGTAAAGCAAAAGTATGAACCACTCTCTGCCTTTGAATAAGGATTTGGCTCCCAAGTATAAAAATTCCACAAAACTATTCTTAAGACAACTTAGTGCACTCTGCCTATGCACTTCAATGAGATTATTATTTGAAATATTCATATATGCAGTAGCTGTAGGCACTTCTGAGAGAGATGAGGTGACTGAAGCTCATGTTTGCTTCCAAGATGACCTGAGCTACATATGGCAAGCAAAGGAGGAAGATATGACCATAATGGAAGGATCCTGCACCAATAGAGTCCTTGGTCTGTGCACCCTCAGTTGAAAGAATCTGTTGACTCTTGATCTAAGTACTTTTAAGGGGTCCTATTTATGTGGTCAGCAAGATTTTGCAGTTACAGATATAGGTTCAAGGAGTTCACTCAAAGTACATTAAAGACTATCAGGAATGTTTAAAAGCTGCTGTACAAGAAGTCAGTCTTTTCATCTTAGAATAAGTGTGGTTGTACTGAGTCTGACTCTGAGCTGTTATGTTGCTTACATTATTCTTAAAAGAGGAGAAACAGACTGAATAGCTGGAAATCAGAAAAAAACCTCATAAACCCATCCATTAGCTGGAGATTTGGGCGAGAAAGGCATTTCTAATATACAAATCATTTGAGAAATGTTTGTGGTATCAACTGGAAGAGGGACTAATCATAATAATTGGGGAACTCCTCAGGAAGGTCTTCTGCAAACCATTTTTCTGTGTGGGTAATTGAAATCCAGTTTACCACATTAGGTATCTTACCTAGTCCACTGGATCACTTAAGGCTTCTTTTTTGATGCAGTTCCATTTAAGAGCCCACTGGTCAAAGCTCTTATCTAAGGTTTGAGGCATTAAATTCAAGTGAGTACCAACCTGGCAGAACTGAATAATTATCTAGTATCTCCTTAGAAATGTAGTAATTATTTCCATTTCCAACCAACCAATCTTGATTTAGATTTAAGTTAAAAGCCCTTTGTACTAAAGGCAGTGAAAAATAAAAATAAATATATGCACAAATCCCACTGATATGTATCTTCTGTCCCTTTTGACATGACTTCACCAATGGAAAGGATTTTGAACCAAACAGAGATGAGCTCTATAGAGTTTTGACACAGACTTTGGAGTGATCAGTGTTTTGTATGTTGGATAGGACTCTGAACCATGCACGTTGGTAGGAAAGTTTTATTAGAGCAAGGGAGGGATGACACCATTTACATAAATCCTTGGCAGTAATGAGAATGATCATGCCAGAAGTGCCAGACTGGTATCACCTTCCTATTTTTCCTAAGTTCCCAGTGAGGATGACCTCTTGCAAATTCTGCAGAGTGTGTAAGCCCTGTGAGTGTTTTAAACAATATAGTTTTAATCTAATATAACACTGCAAATGGTGAAGAGCCTGTAGGCTAAGAGGCAGATCATTCAAATGTAAAAACAAATTTGACTGGAGTCTAAACAATGTTGGCCTCTGCTGCAAAGTATAGCTTTCTTTTGACATGGAAAGAGAGAATGCATTTTGCCAAAAGGGAATTAGCTTGGAAAGCCTCTGTAAATGATACTGTGATGAAAATAAACAGTGCCCTAACCTTTGTTTCACAGTTGTGCATGAGGAACCTAACAGATCATGCCTCATGTCATGAGTGCTCATTAGCTTTTGGCTGCAGCCCATGTCTTGGCCTCGGGGACCTCATGAGAACTAAATCACTGATGTCAATCATTTCTCTCCATGATGACACCGAAGTTCTTTGCAGTGAGATGCCCCTGGTGTTTGTAGCATCCTTGCTAGTAAATAATCATTTCTGGAAACGCTCGCTTGCCTTTACACTTGTACTTTGTCATCCATCATTTCTCAGCTTTCGCTTTCCTCACCTGTCACCATGCTTCAATTTCCCTCTCCTCTTTTTTTATGGGTTTGAAGGTTCACAGTGATTTGGTCTCATTCATCCTTAACAGTATGTCCCTCTGCTCTAACTGCTTTTGTCCTGGTATCAGTATTTCCCTTTTTTCCATGTAACTCTCCCAAGGGAAAATGGACTGAGCTGCAGCAATTCCATCTCCCTGTTGGGATGTGAAGAGTCAGTGTTTTTTGCTAGAAATGGCCATTTAGACATTTCTCCTTCTCCCTTTATGTGACAAACTGCTCATTCAGAGTTCTCACTGGTTCTGGATCAGCCTCCAATTCAAAGGTTAGCATGAGGGGGAATTAATTTTTCATAGGAGCTAATTTGATATATAACAGCATTAGAAGAAGCTGGGATAAAACTTCCTCCTGAAAAGGAGTTACTGTCTCCAAGTTATACAAAAATAAGAAAAATTCCAAACACTAAAAAAACCACCAAAGCCCCAAAACCAAAACCACAACAAAAAAACTTCCCATAAAAAATTACATGGTAATCCTTTTACATAATACTGAAGTTGAGACAAAAATCTGCAGGTATAAGAAAACTAAAAGAAATAATACTGACACCAAGAATCTCAGAGGTCTTTCAGTGAAAAATTTGACTGATAAGTAGTTCCAAATAATATTTCAGCCTTAATTTTTATAAATTGAATTTCTTTCCTTTTTGTTGTTCAATAATTCTAAGAGTTCCCTATTTATTAGAACATATTTATATACCGTACTATTAAAATACCACACATCAGACCAGCTGGAAGAGAAGAAATAATAAGAAGGACAATGGACTCTTTATTCCTTATCAGTTTTTTCAATCAGAGTAGACTAAAATTTGTTAGGGTTTCCAGATTTTCAATCCTGGAAATTTTATTGCAAAAAAGATAAGGTTTTTGCAAATTTACACATTTTTGAAGGTCATCTATTTTCTCAGATAAGGTATCATTTTGCAGCACTGAACAAGTCACTCTTTCTTTCTTCAAAGAGCTGGTAACTTGCACAGAAAATTGTTAGGTATTTCCAAATAATTTGAGACCTCACCTTCTGTGCAGAATTCTCCTGAGAAAGCTCTTTAATTATGCCAACAAAGAAAAAGTAGTAGCAGCTGCAAAGATTCATGATAAATGATTATGTGTTTTTAAATAAAGTATTTTTGTCTTTAAAATATCTGCTTTCCAACAGGTTTTCTGGTAATGGTTTCAGTGTAATTATTCTAGTTTTAAGAAATGTTGTGTCCAGTGAGAAAGGAAAAAAAATCTGGAAGTGGGTTCAAAATTAAAAAAACCTGTAATAATTTGATACATATCTAAAAATGGGATTCTTTTTTTGATTCTTCAGTAAGAAGTGCCAGATACTGATTCCTTAATTATTTCTTCAAGA